CTATTATTATTATCATCGATTTTTAATGTAATTGATTGTGTATTAGACATTTTTGTTTATTATAAGAAATAAATCGAATTTTTTTTATTTAATTTTTATATTGGAATTTGTTTTTTTTTGTTTTTGTTTTTTACAAGAATATGTATCCCAAATCCAAAGGACAATTTATTTCTTTGGATTTTTAACGATCGAAAATTTTTGGAGTTTATATATACATTTTTTATGGATGAAGAATTGAGCTTGGGAAGTTAGCATGGCATTTAATCATACTGAAATTTGATCATAGTAAAAAAAAAAACAATATGGGAATTAATTTTTTGCTCATAAATAAATTAACTGATTGTGTTCATAATAATGATAATGATAATAATATGTCGTATGCGCGAATTTGATAAAAATAGAATAGCATCGGATAATTATTCTACGTCATTTATTAATTCATTTTGTATTTTTACAAGCTATTATTTTCAAGGCATTAGTGCTGATTCTTTTTTTTTAACATAGTACGATGCAAAAAGTAGATTAAATTCACCATATAGTAAATATATCATTTTTTTTAGTAAATGATTTTTTTTTTACAGATGATATCCTTAACGATACTTTGTATTTCATAAAAACCAATTTTCCTTGAAAAAAAAAATTTATTTTTTATTTTTTCTATATGCTCTTTACATTGTTTACCAAATCGTCCCACTATATACAGTAGGACAAAAATACTATAGAAATAGTCAAATAACTGATTTATAAACGTAAATATATTATTTATGAGAATAATAAGACTATTTTCTTACATATTGTATATGTACATGATCAGAAGGTATAATGAAATAAAAATGTAGATGGTAGAGGAAATGAGACAATATGCAATGCAATGAGTTGAACGTTATGTTTAGGTAACAATAATAATTTATAATATTCTTTTAATAAAATTTTTACATAATTTTTCATCAAATTATACTAATTATACTTCATGATTATTACTATAGGATAAAATACATAATTCTTGCTGATTACAATTAGGGTCCTCCTTTATTATTATAACAAGAACCAACAAACTATGCTTCGCGTCACAAACTATATGTCTTATGTTACGAATTATGCTTTGAATCACGAATTATTATTATGCCCCGCGTCATGAATTATTGCTTCAGAAGACCCTAGATTTCATATGATTATTACTTGGGGAGTTGATTAAATGCCAAGGTTTCTTTATTTACCATTCAACAAAAATTTATTAATTATAATTTGTTGTGCTAATTATAATAAAAAAACATATGTTAAATTAAAAATAGCAAACATGCAGAAGGAATGTTATTGTTAACCGTTTGGGTCATGTGATTTTATAGTGTTGACACTAAAAATAGTGTCATTAATTTGACATCTAGAATTCTACCTCTTGTTATTTTTATTTATTAATTACATAATAGTTATCCTGATTTTTGTTGGAAAATCTCAATTTTATAAGTACCAAATTAATATTATTAAAGATTTAAGATGCCAATATTCAAGATCAAAATGATCCGGAAACTCTTGAGGAGACGATCCACCAAATATTAAATATGCAAAGAAAACGTAAAATAACATACATTAAATATATAAGTGAAAAAAATTAAAATTTTGATAGATTGATATAAGACAATCTGTAAACTATCTCCATGTTCAATTGCTTCGTCAATACCCTTTCCTTTACTATCATTCTTCTCGTCATCACTTTTATCTTTATTTTTATTTGTAGAGATTTATCATTTCTGAAGTTTTTCGCTAATAATCACGATAACCATGACTTGGCTTACATTAGTTAATCAGGATGCCAAACTTATTTCCTTTATAATTTCTAAAATGTGTATATTCATGCTTTGTATTTCGATTTTTATACTTAATATGTATGCATGTGTTGATGAATTGAGAGGTGATGGTGACAGGAGGAGATATGAATATGGGTATGGATATGGGTATTAGGAGAAGAATAAGAGATTCAATTGTTTACAAAATGTACATAGGAAATATGTATTCTTCGTGATTTTTTTTTTTTTTTTGAACAATTTTGTCATCTCAGCATTGGCAATAATAGCGATACTAGCATTAATTTAGCGGAGGAGGATCATGCTTGTTTAACATTATTGACAAGAACATTTATATCTCCAAAGATAAAAAGAAAATCCTGACACGGACGAAAACAGCGGTGACAACAAGAGCAAAACAACAGCAAAGGGACGAAAAGAGAACAAACATAGAAATAAAAAAAGAAAAATTTAAAGTTATAAAGTTTAATTTATTTTGCACGATAGTGGCTTGAAGAAATCATGACTTTCATACCAAAAAGGTGCCAATTTCAAACTGTTGTTTATAAACTTTATTATAAAAAGAAAGGTTATTTGCTAACTTATATTAATGATTTTATTTGAATTAATTATTTTGCAAAATAAAAAAAAATTTCATTGTTATTAATAAAAAATCATAATATAATTCTTTCAACAACAAAGCATTATGTTTTTTTTTTATGATTAACCATTAATTTTTAAATTCGTCATTTGATTTACCAATGAAGAATCCACGCCAATAACATTTGATGATGATTGTGATGTAGGCTTGGTTGGAGATGATGGTTCAACAGTTGTTGAACTTGCAGCAACCGAGCCACCACTGGATGATTCATCGTCTTTAAGAAACAAATTAATTTTTTCATCAGCCACATCTAAATGATTTGTTTGCTCACTAACTTCCAATGCACTCAGACGTAAAATATACTCGAGAACACTTAAAGTATTAAT